GAGTTTGCATGATTACATGAAAGGATGTAGGTTCCAAATCAATAAATATTTTTGTAAAACATACAATACTCTGTTGTTTGGGATGCATTTTTAAAATTTAAGCACAATCTAGGAAATGATTTGCCAAGAAATGAAAGCAGTAATCTGAGGAAAAGTCATGGTGTTTCCTATCTGTGATATCCAGGTGCTAGCTTCTTGATAGAGAAACTCTTCAATCTTTGCATCTCCCACCTGGTCCCTGTGCTTTCTCATTGCCCGAGAGTGCTGCAGGTAGAGCCCTTGTCTGATTTATTTCTGCACTCTCAGAGTTGGGAATAATATCTAGAACACAGCATGTTTGTTACTTATATGAATCCATCCTCACAAGCGCCCTCTACAGTCATGCTATTAGTATCCTTACTATTAGATGAGGATCAGAGATTAAGTCAGTTGTCTTAAAAATATCTAGCAAGTGGTAAAAGTTGGAATTTGAATCTAAGGTCTCTTCCCATATATTTATTATATAGAAGAAGGTACTTGTTTGATAGTTATACAATGAATAGAGCTATGAAAACAAAGTATAATTGTGCAAAGAAAGGGCATCATCATACATGGGCACTGATTGGGAACAAATCTACCTTTTATAAGTATCAAGCTTTTTACTAATGTGTCTAATATATGTATAGTTTGAAAAAATTTGAACCCATAGTGCCCATTAAAGGTTACTGCTGCTTAAAAATTCTGTACAGTGACCCATTTTGTTGTGTGAAGAACCCCCCTTTTGTTGTGTCAATAATCACCTCCTAAATTCTCCCATTTATACAGTTAGTCTTTTCTCACATGTAGAGGGCTGGTGATACCCTTTAGTAGATCTTTTCCACTTGCCTACAATAGCCACCCTACCCTCCTAGAACTATAGGGCTAGAAAGACAGTTGGTGCCCTCTTCTGGGGATTTGGGGCAGTAGCATGCATTGAGCCATCAGAATGCATTTCTAGAAAAAGTCAGGTGAAATTCCTTCCTTTCCATTCAAACGATAAGGAGATTGGCTTCAGAGTCTTTTTCTGAAAACAAGATCATTGGCCTGTGCCAGATGGCAAAGGCTCACAATCACAGCTGTTTTGAAGGCTAGGGCAGGAATATAAATAAGGCCAACCTGAGGAACTTCGTTGAGATACCGTCATTTGGGGCAGGGATGCTTTTGAACATAGCTTATTTATTTATTTTTTTTAACAAAGTTAGTTCATGTTAATTATATATCCTTGTACAAATTACTAATCAGAAAATTGAAAGATTATATGGATTTTTTTTATAAAATTCAAGGTTTAGAAGTATTTAAAATTGTATACATGTGTCATTATTAAACATTTGCTTTGACAATATAATATAAAAAGTAATGTGAGCTGGGGCTAGAGCTTATTGGTGGAGTACTTGCCTGGAATATACAAATATCCTTAGTTAAATTTCCAATGCTTGGGTGGAAACACTGTGCCTTAGTTAAATTTCCAATGCTTGGGGGGGGGGGAACACTGTGTCTCCTGATGCTGTAGTGAAGAAAATTAGATTTCTGGTAAACCTTTCTGTTTGAAACAGTGTCTCAGTTATGTAGCCAAGATTGCCCTGGAACCTGTACTCTTTTACATCATCTAGCTGACTTCTGGGTTTATAAGAGTGAGGGCACCATACCTAGCCATTTTTAAGCGTTGGAAGGACTCCACCAATGTATTTTCTTCAGTAAGGTACACTTTACATATACTTTAAGGCTATTAATGATAGTCACCATGTATCAAAGATTAACTAGTTGCTAGATACTTTATATAAATTCTCATTTATATAAACATTATTTAAATCACATCAAATCCTGACAATACCAATGTAAAATGAATAAAACAGATGGAGAAAGACTAAGCAACAGCCCCAAAATGGAAGAGCCAGGAGTTAAAGCCTTGGTGATTCTCGTTTCAGTATAATATAGTCTCTTTTTCTACATTTTTTTTTTTTTTGCTCCCACATCAGAATTCCTACAAAAAAAAAAGTCATGGAGATGTTCATTCTCTTTTCATATTTTTAAAATTATTTTTTCTTATTTTACATATTGATCCCAGTTCCCTCTCCCTCCCTCCCATGCTCCCAAGTCCCAACTTCCAGGAGGGATCAACAAAATCTGTCAAGTCATTTGGAGTAGAGACTAGGCCCTCCCTCCTGCCTCTAGGTTAGGGGAGTATCTATCCCTCCGTGGGGAATGGGTTCACAAAGTCCTTTCCTGCACCAGGGATATATCCTGGTTCCACTGTCAGAGGTATTCTTGACTGATAGAATTTCCATATAAGACTGAAGCATCAAAGAAAATCATGATCAAAACCCTACATGGACCTTTGCTAGTTGACCTCACTCATGTTATTATATGGAACACAATATATGATGATATATAGTTTATTTAAAGGCAAGGGTCAAATAGTAAAGAAAATATTAGCAAGAAAGAGAAGTAGTTTAGACAGGAAAGAGGCCATGACTAGTGGCACAGATCTGTGAAGTAGACTGAAGCAGGGAGACCACAAGTTCAAGGCCTGCCTGGATAACAGAGTGAGTTCAAGGTAAGTGTGAGCAACTTAGTGAGACCCTTGTCTCACAATTGAAAGGTGGCCTGGGATGTAAGTCAGAGGTAGAGTTCTTGCCTAACATTTGTCAAGCCCAAATTCAATTCTCATACCACAGAAAAAAATGAGAGGGGAAAGTGGGAGGGTACTGAAGGCTGAGGGGGCTTGTTGGCTATCCCTGGAAAGCCCAGGAAGCTGGGATAAATCCATCAGACTAAGCCTAAGCTTAACAAAGCATGTATCATAGATCACAGATAATGAAAACTGCCCTACACTTGGAACTTTGTTCCAGACACTCTTGTGTTTTAAATACATTAATTTCATTAGTCCTCACAAAATTTCAGTTTACCTCTCAGAAAATTGAGAGAATGATGTCTATGTGAAATTGGAGGTAAAGAGAAAGTGAGTAAATTGCCCAAAACAAGCTAACAAGTGGTGGACTTGGAAATTGCCATTCAAAATATAAAAGAAAGGTGAGAGTATAGATATTGAAAGAATTGGGTGCTATGCTAAAGGATGTCTCACAGGGATTACTATGGCAAAAGGATAAAAGTCTACAGTGTTACCCCATTGCATATAGGCATTCCTGTAAACAAACATGTTAAGGGCTAGATTGTTAACCAAGAGAAATTAATTTGCATGCTGCACGTACTAAGCACCACTAAAGCCAAGTTATGTTCTTGAAATTTCCGAAGACAAATAAATGCCCAGTAATAGAAGCCACTGATGTCTATCAACAGCTGAATAGATAAAATGTGATATACCTGTGAGAACACACACACACGTGGGTTGTATGTAGCCATAAAGACAGCAATGAAGGGGCTGGAAAGATAGCTTAGTGCTTAATAGTATGCACCACTCTTACAGAGGAATTCCATTCAATTCCCAGCAACTATGTTGCAGGTTTCACAGCCTCCTGGGACTTTTACTGGTGTCTGTGAGCCCATGTACTCACCAGTGCACAATTTAAAATAATTTTTTGAAATACAAAAAAGAGCAAAAGTATGTCATTTGGAGGAAAATAGATTGAACTAGAGAACAAGATAGTAGGAGAAATAAGCCAGACTTTAATGTCAATTTTTTTCTCATATGTAGCATATAGAAAGAGATGAAGAGGCAGGGAAATAAGTCAGGGTAATGAGGGAAAATGGAAAGTGAACTGTCACCTTTTGTCCATGATATGAAAGCCTGGGGCAGACTATTTGCTGGAGGAGAGAGTACAAGAGAAATTCATGGGGGTGCATATGAGCAAAGTACAGTAATATTCATATATGAAATAATATAATGAAACCCATTATTTTGTATGCTATCCGAGAACAAAAGCAAAGAAAAAAAATAAGTAGAAAGCGAAAGAGCAAGGAACCTGTGTTCAACTGAAAGTTCAGCCTGCTCTATGGAGAGAAAAGCATATTTGAGGAGGAAACCTGTGCTGCTCTCTGAATTCATGGCATAATAGGTTTCAAAAATGATGAAACCTCTGAAATCTGGTATGTAAAACTCAAACAGGAAAAAAAAAGCAAAGGTCAGTATCTTTCATGATACTTTTGCCTGTTTATAGATAGTCCCACAAATCAGGCCTTACCCATCGAACTCAAGTCTTGACCTCATACCTTTTGTTCTCACCAAATCTCCAACCAACCTGGGTGAGAGCTAGTCTATAACCTACCATCTTTCAACAGAACTGTTACTCAGGGAAGCTTAAACCAAGTGGCCCAGCCTTGTTGCCTCCCATTAGGAATCTAGGTGAGACAAGCTCCCCCAAATTCACCTTCCATTACCTTGGGGTTCTCAGAAGAAACCTACTCACCACTTACCATGGTAAACCAACAAATTCCAAGTTGGTGTTCTCAAACTTAACTCTATATTACAATCACCTGTGAGCTGAAAACCTCCTCGTGGGCTGGTAACATTCCAGACCCAAAAGAGAAGAATCCCCAGGAATGATACTCAGGCCAGTAGGCTCTGACCAGCTGACTCCAACGTACAACCAGGATTGCAAACCACTGCCAAGAACTCTTCTTGAAGCTCAAGTAGCCACACTCACACAATGGTTTTCACACTCTAGTGTTTGTAGGGACCTCTTGAAGCACCTACTGAGACCTTACCCACAGAGAGTTTGTGTTTGACTGGATCCAGGAGAATACATTCTTTTTTTCTTGTTTTGTTTTATCACCTATTTATTTATTTATTTACACCCTGACCACTAATCATCCTAGGTAGTTCATTTCAGCACAAGCCAGTGGCAAATATTTCTGTGAGATGCTTCACTAACAGGTATAGAAGTTCGATGGGAATAGGAGGCCTCTGTCTCTTTAAGGCCTGATTGAGGGATTGCCTTTAAATCTGTGGTAGCACGGGGCTAAGGCTGTTTCCTTTTAACCTATTAGATTGGGTGCAATCCAGGTTCTTGGAATGAGCCTCTCCTCGTAGGTTCCTTTAGCCTGTCTGAGAAGTTCTGTGTGGTTCCCACCAATGGAGAGTGGGTAGGGCATGCTGCCTTGTCCCACTTGCTGTTTGTTTGTTTTTGTGCCAAGAAGCCTAGTCAGGAGACTTGCTTTGGCCCAGAGGATTCTCCCACAGGAAGCAAGAGAGGGTCTGCCAGCCGGCTTTTCTTTTGATTTCCTGCCCTGTCTTTGGTGTTTGTTAAACCAGGATGTGGAAGAGGTCAGAGTGATGTCCTTTGGACTTGAGTAGGAATCTGTTGACAAGCACCAAGCTTTTCAAGATGGCCCTTCTCACAATTCTTAGAATTATTCTTTGGGGAATGGTGATTTTTATGGAACACAGGGTTCAAATGGTAAAGGCAGGATGGCCCTCCATTACCCTCCCTGCCGACGACCCAACATTGCCCTTGAATCTGGATCTTGCAAAAGAAGCCCCTGGCAAGGACATAAAGCCACGGCCCCAAGGATATCCCCTGAGGTATATGCTAAAGTTATACCAGCGTTCCGCTGACCTGCATGGGCATCCTAGGGAGAACCGCACGATTGGAGCTAAAATGGTGAGGCTGGTAAAGCCCTCAGCCAATGCAGCAAGGCCTCTCAGAGGTGAGTTCTTGTGGCCCTACAATCCTTCAGAGAACAGAATAGGGGAAATGTATAGACAGAAAGGAGGCTTGGTGTGTTGCCATTGATTAGTGAGCAGATTTGGTCAAGTTTGGCTTTCAAAGGGTTGGAAGCTTATGCAAAGCTGTTTCCAAGCCTATTTCCCACTTGAGCTATAAGAGAAAAAATTGCCTTGGTTCCTACTGAACAACCTTCCTGGGCCATAGGACAGATAAATAGAGTATGAACCCCTGTATTTTGTAAGTTGTCATACTTCTTAAACTAATTAAATACCCAGCTGCATTCTTTTGGGAGGGCTATTTATGTGGTTGGTTGCTCTTTGAAGGCAGACTATAAGATAATGAGCTAGGAAAACTTGTGTGGCCTCAGACAGACAGAAACAAGCTATCATCTGAAAGTCAACATGCATGACCCAGTGACCTCACTGTTACTATATTTAATTCTAAAGACAGCCAATTCCATTTGTTGTCATGGGGCAATGAGCATAATTTTTTTAAAGATAAGAAAAAATAAGGCATAGAGATGTTAAGTAACTTACAAATGTCCCCCAGACACTGGCTGGCAGAGATGAGATTGAAACCCTAGACCATCTGATTTTAAATGCACTATACAGATATCCTTACACCAAGCACTTTTATTACTTGGTTCACATTACCTTTTTGGGACTTTGGTACCATGGGATCAAGTGTATTTATTTGTCCACATTATGCTCTATTCTGTTTGAGTATTTGAATTGGATACTGTTCCTAGTCTCCTGAAGTAAAGGTAGCCATCAACTTCAATGAGTTCCTAGGAACTATGAAATCAGGATGGGGTTTACATTACTCTCTAAGATACCAATGGACAGGATTCACACTCTTTCAAAGATCCAAGTAAAATAACTGATATTTTCCTATGAGCTTATTGTGTATCAGGCACTGCAAAAATTACTTTGCAAATGCTATGAGAGTATTACTTAATACTATGAGAGGAGGTGATGGTATAGTCACTTATAGGTGATCAAACTGAAACTCTAATGTCACACAGCTAGTAATGGATAGAGCCAGATGTCAAACAGGCTCTGAAACCTCATTGTCTATAATCTTAATTACCATACCATGATGAACCCTCAGTAGTAGATTTTTATTGTGCACAAGTTGCTGTGTTTAGGTGTGTGTGTGTGTGTGTGTGTGTGTTGCTTCCCTAGCCTCTAGGACTTCCTAGTATTGAATAATGGATAGACAATCACATAATGATATTATGAGTACTTTGAAGAATGACTCACTGCTCAGAATGAGGGAAGCAGGGACATTAGGAAGCCTCAAAGAAGAGACACTATTTGAGAAGGAAGTAAAGAGAGTTTGCATGTAGACAATGAGGTGCACCATTTAGGGAAGAAAAATGGTGTGGTGGTGGAGATTAATTCAGCAAATGGTATTTCACTGCTGACTGCTATGCATACAGATGTGATTAAGACAAATATAGCACTTGCTCTCATAGAACACATGTTCTTATGGGGGGAGATAAATTAGCAAACTGTTAAATAATTGCAACTTGTGGCAAGTTAAATGCCTTGCAGTAGTGAGTAGTAAAACCACCTCTTTCTGTAGGGGTGTGTGGAGGAGATAGCTTTGAAGAAGTGATATTTGAGCTGAGGTCTATAACAAGCTATAACTGATGAAACTGGGGAAAACCTGATTTAGGCAGAAGAAATTTGTAAATGCTTAAAGGGCACAGACAAGCATATCCCACTTGAAGAAGGGAAAGAATAGTGGGGCTGAGTCTTGTGGGAAATGGCAGGAACTGAGACTTTTTAGAGGCAAGGACTTGCAGGCCTTGAGAAAGGATCTGTGTTCATTAATAAGTGTGGCAGAAAGCTGAACAAGTCAAGGGTGATGGAATGGATGCCTCGGACTGCAGGGATCCTGGGCTGACTGTGGGACAACTGGCATCTAGGGCCTATACAAGGATCCAGAAGTTCAGTCACACAGGATGTATGAGTCATCCCTTCCCTTGAAAAGTCTTCACAGACCCTTCCTGGCTCAGGTTCTCAGCAGCCCCACCCTGCTTCAGGAAACATGTGATGTCAAGGTCTGAAAGGAAAGGGCAGTTCCTCAGCAGACAGCCCACTAGAGGTTTGGGTGGGATTCCTTTGTAGGGTGGGGCAGGTGTATGGGTGGGCCTCTTGGAAAAAAATGTGAGAGGAGAATGTGGGACAACTTGAGGAAACAAGTACCAGGGTAGCTTGGGTCTTCTTCCCTAGAACCAAGGCTACTGCAAACCTGAGGGTGTGTTAGGTATGAGCTAGAAAGGGAACCTGTGAAAATATTTTGAACACCAAGATATTAAAGGGCTTGTTTGTTGAAAGTGACTGTCCCCTTGGAGAATTTTAGGCTTGCACCTTCAGTGGAAAAGGAAGGTTAGGTGAATAATACATGAACACACTAAGATATTCCAACACAACAGAAGGCCTTACCCGCTGGCTGTTTTCTAGTATACTCTTAACCTGCACCAGGAAAAGGAGAAGTTCAGAGCTCTTTAGACAGAAGCTTCCACTATTGATTTACTTTTGGAAATAGAAATTTGTTTTTAACAATATATTCTGATCATGGTTTGGCCACAGGGTGTCAGCACTATGATTTGGATTTAGAGCTTTTAAACCTAGGTTGCATGCAGTTTGGGCAGGGTTTTGTTTTGTTTTGTTTTTTATTACTTTTTCATTTCACTTTATTTTGTTTTTGTTTTTGTTTTTTTGAGATAGTGTTTCTCTTTGTAGGCTTGGTTGTCCTGGAATTCCCTCTGTAAACCAGGCTGGTCTAAAACTCAGAGATCCATCTGCCTCTGCTTCCCAAGTGCTGGGATTAAAGGTGTGGGCCACCACCTGGCAGGGTTTTTTTTTGTTTGTTTGTTTGTTTGTTTTGTTTTGTTTTCCAATAAGACTATTCATGTAATCAAGTTTCTTACCTAAACAATATCCAGAGGCATGGTTGTGAAATGAATGGGGTAAACCAGAAGGAACAGGAGAGACTGAACTGGATGAAAACATTCAGAAACAGTTCTTGAAGTTGGTGGAAGGCAGAGAAACAAAGATGGTTAAGCACTCAGTGTACTGATAGGTTCTTCATAGCAGCCATAGCACCCAATATTAGATTCACCACCCAAAAAACTACATCTGTATAGTGATGTGACATGGGAATCCTTTCTTCATATATGTGTGTTTTGATAGCTTTCTTAATTGGTCACCTTTAATAGTCAACTAATAGTATAATTCGTCTTCAACACATACATACAAAATACTTCTATATTTGAGTTTTCACTGTCAACATTGTAATTTAAGAAAAGCTGGACAAAGCAGCCTTACAGACTACAGCCAGGATTTCTGAATCTTCTTCGAATCCCCAATGACAGCGCCCCTTACCAGCAGGAAGTAGTTTGGAAAGAACAGCGCCCAAATTCCCAAATATTGTCTGTAAATGTTTGTTTTCATTTAAATGGACTTGGTTATATAAAATAAATAAATAAAAAAGAAAAGAAAAGTGGGTCTATAGAGAAAGATGCCATGGGACAGAGTTCAAGCAGAATAGTTTTGTATAAGGGAAAAGGACCATAAAAAGGGGAAAGGAGAGGGGAAGACAGTCCTCTGGGGATAGGAGCAGTGGGGGAGAGGCAGAAAGAGGGCCAGAAACAGAGGGGGAGAGAAAGACAGAGAGAGGTGGAGAGAAAGACAGAGAGAGGGAGAGAGAAAAAGACAGAGGGGGAGAGAAAGAGACAGACAGGGGGAGAGAAAGAGACAGACAGGGGCAGAGAAAGAGAGGGATGGGAGGTGGGCAAGGCCCTTTTAAAGAGGAACATAGTGAATATGCACAGGTGCATACTCTCAGTGGCTGCAGCTGAAGTTGTATTTTGTCAGAACCTCAAGGACAGGCCAGTACAGATACGCTAATACTAACAAATAGTCCAAAAATAAGATGGATTTATGCTTAATATCAGTAGACTTGGGTTCAGATCTTCAACTTAGCAGGTGCTGGCTGCATGCATGCTTCTTTTTCAGTTCAGGGTAGAGGATCCAGGACCTTTGCTCAGGTGTCCTTTGATGGCTTCTATAAGCCTCATGCCATTATCTACAAAACAGTGATAATAACTATTAAATAAGAATGTTGTAAATTAAAGGATCTTTGTATGTACTAGTAAATGCTCAATAAATGATAGAATGAATTATATCTTGAATTAATTTCAGGGCTATTTTCAACTATCAGTTTACATTCAGTGGTTTTATAAGGATGTCCAGGTGGAAGATAAGACATTAACAGTGGATCCTGTTCTTTCACATTTGTGCAGGTCCCCGGCATGTACAGATCCTGGACTTTCCTCTAACATCAAACCAGGTAGCATACCAACTAATCAGAGCCACTGTGGTTTACCGCCATCAACTTCATCTAGTTCATTACCATCTCTCCTGCCACGTGGAACCTTGGGTCCCAAAATGCCTGCCCAACCACTTTCCTTCTTCAGAAGCACCTTCCTCAAAGTCATCTCCAGTGTCTAAAGCTTGGACAGAAGTGGATATTACACACTGTATTCAGCAGAGGCTCTGGAATCGCAAGGGCCGGAGGGTCCTTCGCCTCCGCTTCATGTGTCAGCAGCAAAAAGGCAGTGAGGTTCTTGAGTTCCAGTGGCATGGTATCTCATCCTTGGATGTCGCCTTCTTGCTGCTCTATTTCAATGACACTGACAGGGGTGTACAGACTAAAATTCTTACACAAGGCCAAGAGGAGTTAACTGATAGGGAATCTTCTGTTCTCATGCGGAGTGCCCGGCAAGCATGCAGTATTGCATCTGATGTCCCTTGTCACTCTAAGGAACATGATGGGTCTATAAATAACCAGTGTTCCCTCCACCCTTACAAGGTCAGCTTCCATCAACTGGGCTGGGATCACTGGATCATTGCTCCCCGTCTCTACACTCCAAATTACTGTAGAGGATTCTGCAGTCGTGTGCTACCCTATGGTCTCAATTCACCCAACCATGCCATTATTCAGAGCCTCGTGAATGAATTGGTGAATCACAGTGTACCTCAGCCTTCCTGTGTCCCTTATAAGTTTCTCCCTATGAGCATTCTTCTGGTTGAGGCAAATGGGAGTATCTTGTATAAGGAGTATGAGGGTATGATTGCCCAGTCCTGCACATGTAGATAACAATGAAGTTGTAGCTATTTCAGATTTCCTAAGAAAGTGGAGAAGATAAAGAAAGCATTATTGGTGTTGAACCTGACATTGATCTACCAAGTCTACAGCTTCCATTCCTTATCTTAAAAAAAAAGATTGTGCTTATGCTTAAAATATAAGTGTACTTTAAATTCTATATAAATGTTAGGATCACATCTTAATATTTTTTTTAAAAAAAGTAATTTAAAATACCACAAAATAGTTATCTTTAGCATTATTTAAAGCCTTTCCTTCATTTGTGAACTTGTAAAATAGTTTTCTGGCACTGGTAGCATAGCATGGATCAGTGTGATTTTATTAGTCAGAGACCTCAGTGCTTGGACAAGATGCTTTACCAGAGATGTGCTATTATGTCATTTTTATAGTGACTTTGGAAAAACAACACTGGTCCATGGTAGTATAACATTGGGAGTCCTGAAGTTGACTTCATTCTGGGCTCACCTGTTTTGTGTGTCCAGCTGGGCTCTTCTGGGCATGGGTCTCTGGAAGGACAAAGTTGCTGCTTGGGAAGAAGTATAGATATCTCTCTCTCTCTCTGGGACTAAACTCCTTGAGTTTCTCTCCCTTTTGTGATGCTGAGGATAGTGAGCAAGTGCTCTACCACTGTGATCTATTCCCAGCCCAGCTTGACTCTATAATCCTGTAGTATAACTGTTGGGACAATATTACAAATCAATAATACCTTTCTTGTTAAAGAGAATCTTGAATGCTTTGGAGATTGGGAGAGATTGGATAGAAGGAATTTATGTCTTTTGTTCTCTATAGCTATGATCCAGACATCTACCCTAGTCTCTGAGGAACAGGGCCAGAGATGGTTCTGAATTTGCTCTCCAGGCAGCACTACTAGTAAGCAGATCTCATTGATATGCCTGTTAGAGAAACACATTGTGTCTCGGTACTTGGATAGCTATTGACTAGTCTTCTCACCATTCTCAGTGGGATAGGACTGGACTAAAGGGTGAGGGTATGTGCTAGCTACTGTTAATTCCAATCTATTTCTTTACATTTATCATAAACTCAGTAAATTGTTAATTAACCCCTTCCCAGTGGTTGATTCTGACTGGACTGAATATCTGGGGATCTATTCCTTAGCATCATTTTGTTCACATATCTACTTAGAAATCAATTCAGGCTTTACTATTCATCTCTTCAGTATTGTCATGACAACCCAGTTTAAAGTAGCTGTGTATTCTCTCTTCTCATAGCACAGTATGCTTTCCCTTAATGTGCTGTAGTGATATTGTCTTCACTGAAAAGTTGGAGCTCCCTTTGAAGGTTTTACTTGTCTCATGACTATCTTCTGAGTGACCAGAGCTGAAGACCTAGAAAATCCTTTAATGAGCACAAAGTTGACATTGTTTTTGTGTGTGTGACGTGGAATACCACACTATTTATATATTTGTATGTTTATATATTTTCTTAAAGAATAAATGTAACATGTGTACTTTGCATATAAAATATAGTGATTTCAAAACTGTTAAATTTACAAAAGATTATGAAAGCTATGTTATTATGTAAGGTGGTTTGGGAAATCATGATGTTATGAGCTGAACTGTGAGAAAAATTTTGCTTCCCATTTATTTCTTTAGCATTCCTAGGACAGGCATAAACACCCAACAAACCTGAAAATGTACCTTGGCTATGGGACTGAGTCCAGAGTTCAACCTCTTGGCATTCTTTGGGGTTTTCAGGAAGAAAAACAAAAAACAAAACAAAAAAAAAACCTCTGACTCTTATGACTTCTGGAAAGCTTTGAAACTTATGGGGAATTCATGATTAGTTGTCTCTATTATGCTTTGAGTAGTCAAATTAGCCAAGGAAAATATTGGCAGGATGGTGTCATTTGTCAATGGTGTTATGGTTTTCCCGTTGGAAAAAAATGTATTGATTCAATTGAGCACCTTTTCACGTCTAAAGTAAAACACATGCCTTAAATCTTCCTCTGAGAGAAAGGAGAAAGGCTCATGAGTGAGGAGGAACATTACTTAGTTTGGAGTAAAAATTAGAAAGAAAAGTCTACCTTCTTTCCCAGAACAACAAAATAGGCTATATAATCTAAAGTATGGGAACTAAAGCAATCAGCATTTAAGCTTGCTTCTGACTCTGGGCTTTGTTGAATTTATCTTTCTTCTTCTTCCTTCTTCCTTCCTCCTTTCTCCTTCCTCCTTCCTCCTTCTTCCTTCTTCTTCCTTCCTTCCTTCCTTCTTCCTTCCTTCCTTCTTCCTTCCTTTTTCCTTCCTTCCTTCTTCCTTTCTTCTTCTTCTTTCTTCTTTCTTCTTCTTCTCTGGAACCAGCATAGGTCCGAACCAGGCCCCCTGAACGTGGGTGTGAGTTGGGAGGCCAGGGTAGCCTATAGGGCCTCTGGCAGTGGATTCCGGTATTTATCCCTAGTGCACAAATATGCTTTGGGAGCCCATTCCCTGTGGAGAGATACTCTTTCAGCTTAGATACCCTTTGGGAGGAGTGGACAGGGGGTGGTCTCGGGAGGGAGATGGGGACAGGAGGAAGGGTGGGAGGGAGAACTGTGAAATATAAAATGGAATTTAAAAAATAAAAACATAGATTCTTGCTGGGCAGTGGTAGTGCATGCCTTTGATACCAGGAGGCAGAGTCAGGCAGATTTCTGAGATCAAGGCTGGCCTTATCTACAGAGCACGTTCTAGGACAGACAGGGCAACATGGAGAAACCCTTTATATTTGTCTCTATATTTGTTCCCATCTGCTGCATGAGCAAGCTTCTCTGATGATGGCTGAATGGGGCACTGTTCTATGAGTATAGCAGATTTCATTAGAACTCAATATATCTCTATGTGGCAGTTTTTTGTTGTTTTGCTTTATTGTTAGTTTTTTGTTTGGTTGGGGTTTCTTTTTGTTTTATTTATTTTAGATTAGCAGTATTTGGTCTTACCCTATGTCCCTGGGCTATCTAGTCTCAGGTTCTTGGTAACCCAAGTAGTGTTAGTATGGGTTCCATCTCATGGAATGGGCCTTAAGTCAAATCAGATATTGGTTTTGTGACTGGCTTTGTGTTTATGCTACTCTTTTGGTAGCCTTCAAAATACCTTCCTGTACCAAAGACACTGGAAAATGTGGGTCACAGCTTTATGTAGGTACCAGCTATACTTCTTATGTTCAATGATCTGTGTTGGTGTTGTCTTTAGCAAAGCGGCCTTGATGTTACTTCATATAGAGGAACCTGTCTTGGCAAAAGCATGGTTTGGTTGGAAGTTCCCATGGGACCTTCTTTAGTCAACAATTCAATTAGATATAACCCAATCCTGGTGCTGGAAACTTCATTTGGTGACAACAGATGTCCAGTTAACACTTTGTCTCCCCATTATTTGGTGATTTCGTTTAGATTGCCTTCTCTCTCTCTTTTGTTGTTGGTTTTTTTTTCTGATAATTTTATATTTAAATTAGAAACAAGATTGTTTTACATGTCAGTCCCAGTTCCTGCACTCTCCATTCCTCCTTTGTTCCCCCAACCCCCATCCCATCCCCTTTCTGCTCTCCAGGGAGGGTGAGGCCTTCCATGGGGAGTCTTCAAAGTCTGTCACATCATTTGGAGCAACGCCTAGGCCCTCCCTCATGTGTCTAGGCTAGAGGGCCTTCTTATATATTTTAGGAAGTTTCTACTTTTTTCTTTTGTTCAAACTACCATTCAAATTCCCATTAACTTTACCTACTTCCCCCTGTTTTCTCTCCCTCAATCCCTTCTCTCTTTCCCTCCCTACTTGATCTTCCCATTCCAGCACCCCCATCCATCCATTTTTATCTATTCTATTCCCATTACTTAACAAGACACATTATTCCTATGTTCCCTGTTGACATATGTTCCCTCTATAGCTACCCTCTGTGCTTTCACAGATTGTAGCTTGGATATCATTTACTTAACAGCTAATATGCACATATAAGGGAGTGCATACCATATTTTTCTTTCTGAGTATGGGTTACCTCACTCAGGATGATTTATTTCTTTTTAGTTTATCTATTTCCTGTGAGTTTCATGATTTATTTTTTAATGGCTGAGAACATTTCATGTGTAATTGTACCACATTTTCTTTATCCATTTTGTTGTTGTTGTTGTTCTACAAGAAGTCTTTATTTCAATTTACTTTGATTTCAAATGGAGCAAATGAGTTTCAAAATGTTTCATGGTTTTGATCACTGGGTTAACTTGATATTATCCAATTTCCTCACCCATAGAATTTATTTATTTTTAATTTCATTTTACATTCTAACCACAGTTCTCCCTCCCACCCTTTATCCTGTCTGCCACCTCTTCCCAGCCCACCCCCCCATTCACTCCTCCCAAAGGTGTAAGGGCTTCCATGAGGAGTCAACAAAGTCTAGCAAGCCCCTCTACTCTGTATTAAGGCTGAACATGGCATCCCACCATACGGAATGGGCTTCAACAAGCTAGTTCATACACCAGGGATAGATCCTATTGTCAGGGGCCCCTCAGATAGTCTAACTTCCTCCCATATTCAGATGACATTGTTGGGCCCTGGGAGGCTCCACAGTTTTCAGTCTTGACTTCATGAATTATCATGAGCTTGGTTCAGCTGTCTGTAGATTTCCCCTTGACCATCCTTACTCATATACCCTCCTCCCTCTCTTTGACTAGATTCCAAGAGCATGGCCCGGTGCTTGGTTGTGGATCTCTGCATCTGGTTCCATCAATTACTGGATGAAGGCTCTATGATGACAGTTGTGGTATTCACCAAATCTTATTACAGGGAAATACCAGTTCATACATCCTCTCCACCACTGCTAGGAGTCTTAGCTGGAGTTATCCTTGTGGATTCCTGGGAATTTGCCTAGCACCAGGTTTCTCCCTTACCTCATAATGGCTTCCATTATGAAGATGTCTCTTTCATTGCTCTCCCACTCTGTCCCTCCCCAACTTGACCATTCCATTCCCTCATATTCTCATCTCCCCTCCCCTTTACTGTCCCTAGTTTACCCAGGAGATCTCATCTGATTTCCCTTCCCAGAGTAATCCATGTGTCCCTCTTACATGTGTCCTCCTTGTTACCTAGCTTCCTGTAGCTATGGATTATAGTTTTATTATCCTTTGCTTTACATCTAATATTCACTTTTGAATGTATACATACCCTGTGTTTATCTTTCTGAGTCTGGGTTACCACACTCAAGATGTCCCCTACCTCCGGTTCCATCCATTTGGCAGCAAATTTCATGATATCCTTGTTTATTACAGCTGAGTAATACTCTCTCT